GCCGCGAGGATATTTTAACTATGGTTATATGGAGTCCGAGAACATCTTAGAATTTTTTTTTGGGGTGCGGAGGAGGGGAAGGGTTCGGAACTACTGGTTTACAGTTTTCGATGAAAAGAACTTTTTCCAAAGCATAAACCTCATACGGCAACCTTCGTACCTTCCACGAAATGAGGATATATTTTACACCCATCACGCTTGACCTTAGGCTCAGCTTGGGATTGTGCTTCAACCGCGACTCATGAGGGGCAAAATACATCTGCATTCAATGCCACATTTGTATGAAGTTCACAGATTGCTCATCAAACAGATTAATAATTCAGAGTACACAACGTTTGTGACCCTTTGCAGAGTGAACTTCGAGGCAGCTGAGCAGGGCATAAGTGAACAGTGCAAAACTATTTTACAAAACCAAGAACGCCTTTGTTTCTGAGTGTCTGTTTTGTTGCCATGCAAATGGTCATTTGATAATTGAACTGGACGGCTGATTCGTTACGTAGTGTCCATGCGTTCGTTTTTCTCATGTGAGCACCGCAAGTCATTTTCATTTCAAAGGTCAATTGAAAGACTGTCGTCGGGTAGCCCGAAAACGCATAACATAGTTTCTTAAGGCAGACAATTCTCCTCAACTCCTTGTCAATGGATGTATGCTGAAGAGCTTCTTGAATACATTGAAATTTATTCAGAATACAACAACATGCCCAATCTGATGAAAAATTAATAAGGAGGATTTTTAAAAGGATATACTGTACCTTATATTCTGTGAATGGAGTGAAGTTCGGTGTTGGCCAGCCACTACGCTCCCAAATAACTGACCACTGGTAAGATAACGTTATCGCAATCCAAAACACACAACTCAACGCTGTAATGTCACCGGTAAAAATGAACTACTTTTCATATCATTAATGAAACATGCCAACGCAATGAATCGGCCAGCGGCATCTAACAGTTTAACACTAGGGTATCTGTTCAAAAAATTTTCTGGAACAAATAAACCGTCAACAGGTAGTACGACAGCCTCTAACAGATAGAGCGAATTCACTTCAAATTCGATCGTCAAGTGATATTATGTCAAATAGAATCACCACGATCAAACAATACCTGTGTATTCTATGGCCTCACAAACATGCGTAATTATTCTGTTGAATCCTAATCCATCACTTGGTTATAAAGCCATACGAAAGTAATCAATTCTGAGCAGTTGAGTATAGTAACAACAGTTATTAACGTTCCACTTTTGCAATCAACATAACGTAAATATGTTGATTGCAAAGATGGAACAAACCATTGATGATATCATAATCACGTTCCACAATTGTCATCTACATACTGGTTGGGGACCGCGAGCACCTGAAGCGGAAGGTGAGCAAAAATTTTGCTCGGATCTTGCTTGCGAACAGGAACAGTGAGTGAATAACTCAGGAGCGATAAGTATGCATAGCTCATGAGTTGTTTTTTTTTTGTTTGAAATGCTTGCATCTTAAGCCTTCGGTGAGCAGTTTTCATAAATTCGTTTGTTTGAAATCAATAGGCTCGTATATTTGCGTAGCATTTGCAAATATGAAGTAGTCAACTTCAGTAGAGAACAAACATAGCAAAATGTTTTGCACAGATTTGATGAACACTCAAGATAGGTGAATTCAAGAACTCACAAGCAATTATAAATAGAGGAGGAACGAGGTTATTCGCCGTTATCGTTCGTGGCGTTCGTCGCCAATACAGAAGCCAAAAATACCAAATGCTCACCACAAACGAAATAGCAATTTCAACTGCACTAGTGAACAACTGCAAAATTTTTGTTGAGAGTAAAGCGCTGGACTTTTTACGCGTTTTGGTCACATAAACACGATTTGTTTCTGAATAATCGCTTTTCTATGCTAGACTCATTCTATTGAAAGTTCCATTTCCGACAATGGAGCGACTGAATGAAACGATAGTGAACAGTTTTGCTCATTTGTTCACCTTGTTTATTGGTGAACCATGTGTCCATCGCAAACTTTCCAATATTTACTTCGTATATCAATGCAATTGATGATCCTCTGAAACGGTTTTGTATTCCACGACATACGGAATGTTTTGCAGTTATTCTCACCTCATTTCGCATTCCAAACTTCAAATTGTTCCAATCCTTCAGCGAAACATCATTACTCAAAAAAGAGTGCAGTTCAACGCCAATGCATCCGTGACTTCCTTTTGTGATTGTCCTCCTTAACAAACGCAGCGTAATTATCAAGGACAAATCAGTAACATTTTGAGATGTTTTCATCAATGGCAGTGAACTTCATTTCACCGAAACAATATCAGTTTCCACATTTGATTACAGTTATTTTTTACGTTTCTGACAATTTTTGATAAGAAAATTGCGCAGTATTCCAGTTGCTCATCAATGCAGAACAACTTGTTGTAGTATGACATTCTTCAGAAGCATCAATAGCTTCATGTCCTACGTGTCATTCATGGAAAAAGTTTTCGATCGGAACATTTCTAATAGATCGGACGTATCACTTCGACAATGTCATATAATCAGTGTGCACCGAATAGATGATGCTAAAAATAGCTGCAAAGAACTCCTCAAAGTGATCTACGAACAACCTTGTTCGACATTCATTCAACCTTTGCAAAATATTGGCTCGCTGCACTATTCCAATCTTTCCGTAACATTTCAACTTGATCAGTTCCACTATCAAAACAACTACCGAACAGACAAGTGCTACCATGACAACCTCAATGATGTCTGCTCAGCAACATTGTTCAGCGTGATCTACGATTTCAGCATATAGGTACAAAGAATTTGTTGCTGAGTACATAAATATCATAAATGAGGTTGAGGATCAGTGCAACAAGATTAACAATCGTTTCAATGCAACTCTATTCAATGTGGTCACGACAGTTTATAATAGCAATATACATGCTTTCTTCTACCAATACAATTCAGTTGCCCAATACAGTTGATGAATGACTATTGAATTTGGAACAATTGTTTGTTGAAATTTGTACGTAGGAAATAATGAATGCTATTATGCTATCCTAACACGATCGTGAATGCAAGTGCAAATAATCATTACCATAAGAGAATAACACTGAATGATAATATCCGTTTAAGATTACGTATCGTGTGCGAAGAAAGAGCGTACCGTTGGAACTAAAACTGATATGTGATGTGTTTATGTTCAGAAGCAAAACAAATAAGGTTGTTAACACTAATGAATACTTCCGATTATCCTTGGGGAATTCCTTCCACTGAAATCATATCAATAGCGTCAATTGCATTGCTTTTTTCTTTGCAAACTAAAGCATCTGTTCAAACGCCCAACTCGCCTCGGTAACACAGAAGTTGACCAATGTATATATGAACC